CATGGACTTGCTGCAGGACTCCAGTCACACTATGTGGGGACTGAACGCCCACTTGAAGGGCTTCCTGGAGCAGGTGAACAGGCTGCAGGAGGCCAACCAGCGGCTGGAGGCTCAGATAGCCGACTGGTCCGTCAGGAGCACCTCACGCTCCCGGGACTGGTCCCAGCAGGAAAACACAGTGAAGGAGCTCCGCGTCCAGGTAAGACACTGTTTGTTTCTAGAGATTTTGTAGCTATCAGGTGATCATTCAAAGTCACTCGGACTATTAAAAAGTGTTGCCAGAAAAAGATATGAAGTGTTGCAGATTTGCTCCAAGACTATTTATATTCACGTGTAATGATTATGCTCAGATTATGTTCCCTGACTTCAGCTCAAGGCCATAGTAGCCTGCAGGCAACAGAAGCAGTTGTGAAAGGCAGCAAACTAGTGTTGACAACTGCTTGCAACATTCATTTAATTGATTAAAGCCACCATGTAACAACAACTCTTTAACACTCTTTGGAACGTGATCCAAGGGCTGAAAGTGAATGGTGGTTAAACCTGGGTTTGAGGCTATAAACGTTGCTGTTGATTATTTTCAAGTTTCATGTTTTACTTCAGCTGGTTGGGAGAATCAGCAACTTCTTCTTGATATAGAAAACCCTTTTCAAAACCGAGGGGATACTGAAACTCACTTGTCATCAAGCTAAAAGACGCATGTCTTAGTTCTGTAAGAAACACTGTTCTTAAACTGAACTAAGAGAGCAATGAAATGCTTATTTGTGATGTGTAACTATGGGTCAAGTATGCTACTTTGAATGATCTGTATTTTTTTTTAAATCCGTAAGTGAACAAAATGTCAGTACTTACTGTAAGTCAATGAGGTGAGAGGTAACTCCACATCAAACAAACTTGTTGCAGAGGATTAGTAGCAGATAATGTGTGTCATTGTGTCTGGGTTAGACGCAGACAGACGCCGGCTGTCACACACTGAAAGAATGCCGAACTCTTTATTTCAATTGTCATGGAAAAATGCAGCAGCAAACACAGACTTAAAGCAGAGAATTGTATTACAAGTAACAAAAGACAATCATGTTTAAAAAGAGACAGCTGAAAGATGATAGACGAATAATGTCAGAATCAGAATCAGAACCGTTTATTGCCAATGTATGTAACATACAAGGAATTTGTCATGGCAGGTGGTGCATAACATTTGACAATAACATTGAACAATAAACAACAATCAACAGTGCAAGAAATAGAGACATATTAAAATTTACAATAGAATTTAAAAGAATATAAAATAAAGTGCATGACAAACAGATAACAGGACTGTAAACAAGTGTAATGTAAAAGTGACAGGAGTAGTAGGGAGGGAAGGAAATTGTCCTGGGGATGACAGAGTCAGTGGGGGACCCGTGCTGTTTCTCGAGACACACTAGAAGCACGTGCAGTGGGTGGTCCTCAGCACACCGCTTTCACGTGTCTATAGCGAGCGCCGAGCCCAGCCGTCAGTCCAGCGTGACAACAGCAGGAGACAACATCAGCATGGCTACGGGGATGGAGCCCTCGGAGTAAGTGCCATTTCCACAATATGTTGTACCTTCTTTCATTTTTACAAAGTTAACTAGATGTACTGCCTCTGCCAACCAGTCGACATGCAGTTTCCATCCACGCCTGTCCAAAATGTCATCATTTTATGCAGTTAGACATTTGTGTGAAATTGTCATAATTAGCATAGGAATTCTTGAGAAAGCCAAAAAGTGAACTTAACTTGCTCCCCCCCCAAATTCGAATCAGTTCAATAATTCAAGTCAAAGTGGACATTTATGCGAAATTTGAAGAAATTCACTCCAGATTTTCCTAAATACAAATCCGTAATCAGCCCTCCTCCTAGCCAGCAAACTGAATCCACTCCAATGATCTCTCTGCATGTCTTCACATACAAAATATATTAATTAAAACTCCAGATTCGTCGTGCCACCTGTGACCCTTCTTCTCTACTCGGCTCAATAAGTTTCAGCCTCTTGCACTGTGCACTATAAAGGACATATTGGCCAAATTCAGTTGATTTAAAAAAACAAACCAAAAAAAACCTGTCAGAGTACTGAATCTGCTCGTATCAAAGTAACAAACAACTCTTACAGCCGATGCCGGTGAAAGCCCATTTTCAATTCTTCTGGATTTGAGATCAGCCTTTGACTCTTTGGATCACTCGATCCTACACGATTGCCTTGGAAAGAGGTTTTGCATCAGGGCCACTGCCCTACGATGTTTAAAATCGTATTCATCAAACAGTCTTTCGAGGTAATCGTGGGTAATGCCTCCTCTGCCTTTTGTTAGGGTTAGATAGTATAGTATGTCGAAAAAAGTAATAGTATAGCATGGTTTAAAAAGTCACAGTATATTAGGTCAATAAAAGTCAAAGTATAGTATGTTTGAAAAATGAAAAAAGTCAAAGTATACTATGTAAAAAAGTCATAGCTCTGTATGTTTTAGAAAGTCCAAATATAGCACGTCGAAGAAATTCATGCAAAAGTCAGTAAAGTATGACGTAAAATCTAATGTTGAATATGTCGAAAGAACTCAAAGTTTAACATTGTAAAAAGTCATATTATAGTGACAGTATAGCATGTCCAAAATGTATTTTAAAAATTCTAATATAGGATGTCCAAAAAAGTCCTTAAAACACGTCAATAGCATGTCATAAAACTGTCCAGAAATTGTCATAGTATAGCATGTATAAAAAGTCATAAAAAAGGCATTGCTTAACATTACAACAAATTCCTAGTATAGTATGTCATAAAACTGTCATGAAAATAAGTCATAGTATTGCTAAAGAAAGTAAAAGAAAATTAGCATGTTGAAAAAAATTCATTAAAAAGTTATAGTATGTCATAGAAAAGACAGCATATATAGCTTGCCATAAACAGTCATAGTACTCTACACTGTACAAATGTCATGGCATATTATGACATAATGTCCAAAAACATCTTAGCATAGTATGTAATAAACATGACAAGTCAATTTGTAGTCACAAAAATATTTTTTAAAAGTCCAAACAGTGCGTTGCAAACAATGTCATAAAAAAGTAGTATTAGTATAATATGTGATAGAAAACACACCAAACCTTTTGTAGAATGCTTTTTATTCAACACAAATAACAATATGAACAACAAAACTGTAAAATAACACAATCCTTAAAAATCAACACCTTTAATTCAATTTGTACACAACACCAGGAAGGCTACATCGTATGTTTCAGTAACCAAGAGGCTTTTTGGATATAAAGCTGCAAGTAACTAAAGCCATGTTGTCTATACAGCCACGGAAGGAAACAGCCCGAGTCAAAGCAAGACACATTACAGTCTTGTGTTAATTGTTGTTATTTGTATTTATTCTGTTAACATGTGGGCAATTATACCATGTATATTGCATATGAAATGTAAACTATTGTATTAAGCTTAGGCTAACTGTTAATGGCCTCATATGTATAATCTATTTGTCTACACGTGGGATTTGGCACACAAATGGTTTGACAACAAGGAAGGTTGTTGTGTAGTTTTTCTGATGATCTGACGCCACAGCATAGTGAAGAAACATCTGTCCTGGATTAACGAGGCTCCTGTTTAACAACAGGTTCATTTGCCAGTGTTGGCCCGCAAACAAGAGGCACGCAGATTAAATAAACACTCAGCACTGAAGCGGCAAACATCGTAAAACTGATTAACACCCACAACACCCCCTACACCCACAATGTGTAATTACAGGAAGACAGTGGTAATCATCAGGTATGCAGGGCTTGAGTCAAATTAGGCACAGACGCACCCAGCTCTGTATTTGCAAACTGATGAGCACTGAGGTGATTTTCCTGTTAGAGGACGTTATTGTTCCCAAAGGCGAGCACGCTCTGAGCCACGAGGTTCTGTCAGTGGTGCTAATGCTGCTGTCATCGCGGCCGACTGCCGCATCTCTGAACGCAGACGCGTCTGCTGCAACGTGCCCAGAACATCTTTCTTCTATGTATCGACACGCGTCAGGGTGGGAGGGGGTGCGACGCCAAGACTTTGTGTGGCAGCGGCAGTCACAGGGATTGGGACTGCTGCCCCGCCGCAAAATTATATATGAGACACACGAGAAGCACGTGCAGTGGGTGGTCCTCAGCACACCGCTTTCACGTGTCTATAGCGAGCACCGAGCCCAGCCGTCAGTCCAGCGTGACTCACAACAGCAGGAGACAACATCAGCATGGCTACGGGGATGGAGCCCTCGGAGTAAGTGCCATTTCCTCTTTGGTTTTTGGTAAATAACACGTTTTCAGGGATAGCTTGGTGCTGACAACAGATAAGTAATTATAAGACCACATGTGTTGCAATGCAAAGAGAAAACATCAGTGTGTCTTGACTGTAGAGAGGCGTGTGGGTTTCTTATGGATACTCAATTGTGCATTACGCATGAAGCTGGAAGGTTGTGTCACTGATATTCATTTGGGGAATTTTTGCTACGATGTTTGCGTCTTTCTAAAAGTTCCCTCTTACAGTAACATGCGACATTACGTGTGTGCCTGCTGGTTGATTTAAAGAAATAAGAAATAATATCTTTACATTCTTATTTATCTATCACGCTGGTATTATTTATTGTCTGCGTACGGTTTGTGCACCCATGTGGGGTTTGTTGAGTCGGTTGTGGAACCTCCAATCACTGCAACGCTTTCTTTATTAATACACTATTTGTGGTGGTGCAACTACATGTGTCCAATGTCGCACGTGAGACTGCTCAAATGTTCACTTTAAACCATTTAATCTGTTCTCGCTGATTGTGCTGAGCGAGGCGGGCCGGGCTGTTTTGCAGACATTACACATAGAGTCAGTTTCATCCACATGTGCCTGTTGATTTGATAGCCTCTCCACCCCTGGCAAGGATGTGGGTGTGCTTTTTTATTGGTTAATCATCCTGTGGGGAAAAGTGGGGATGGAGCATTGTTGCCAAAACTGAAACTCATCTTGTGGTGGGTTTTGACATGGGGGGAGTTAGCATTAAAACTGGCATAGAGGCAGTGCCTGCGTGGTTTTGATTGAGTGACAACAGAGGGGAAATGAGATGCAACAGAGTTGTGTAAATGCTCAGCAGATGGCTCTAAAGTGGGACAATAAATCACATGAAGCAGGTGCTGCTGCTAGTCTTGTTTTGAACGGCTCGCACATTATCTTTTATTTTGAAAGTTGTGCCAGACAATCTACAGCCACACATGTGGCATCTGAAACAAAAACTACGTGTCAGTTTTCAGTTGATCACCAGTATCGTTCGTGTGTCAGAAGTGATAAACACTGAGATCAAGATTAGCAAGACATCACACACCAACTGCATCACTTCAACAAAGAAGTGGTATGCCCGCTATGCTTGTACACAAACTGCAACTTGTAATTTAACTCTAATGCTTGTATGACTTCACCCCAACACTTCAAAGGTCACTAGGCCTACAGTAGGTAGGATAATCAGTCAGGATGTGGTTGTAACATGAGCTTTTCTTTTCTAGTGTGATCCGCCTTATAATGCAATACCTCAAAGAGAACAACCTCTACCGAACACTGACCACCTTACAGGAGGAAACAACTGTCTCGCTCAACACAGTGGAAAGCATCGACAGCTTCATTGCAGATATAAAGAGCGGCCACTGGGACTCCGTCCTGCTGGCTATCGAGTCCCTCAAGTTGCCCGACAACACACTTATTGACCTTTATGAGCAGGTGAGCTTTTGCGTCGATCAGATGATACTTTTCCCGGCTTGGTTAATTAAGAAGCAGCGTCTGATGAACACCGATCTCTGTGTCAGGTTGTAATGGAGCTCATTGAGATGAGGGAGGTGGGAGCCGCTCGCTCACTCCTCACACAAACTGACCCGATGATCATGCTGAAGCAGACGCAGCCAGAGAGGTACATCCATTTGGACAACCTGCTAACATGCTCCTACTTTGACCCCTGTGAGGTAAGACAATAAAGTGTTCTTCTTTTGAACGGCTGTATTGACAAGTTCCTAAATAATATTAATAAAGTAACGTCCTTTCCGTCTCACTACAGGCGTACCCGAACGGCAGCAGCAAGGAGAAGCGGCGTAGGGCAATAGCCGAGGCGTTGGTGAGGGAGGTCAGCGTGGTGCCACCTTCTCGCCTCATGGGGCTCCTGGAACAAGTCGGCGTGAGTATAGTGATCAATATCACTCTTCGTACTCACTCTCGTAATTCTGTGAAAACGGCAGGAAAAAAAGGCAAAATTAGCCAAAGAGCAAAAGAAACAGACTCAGTCACATTTACATAATGGTAATTGATGGGGCACACACTTTAATTATTATTTTATTTGGCAGCTTTTCAGGAAGTTCTGTGGACATTTTGCTCAAGATTTGCAAAGAAACATGACTAACAGCAATCAAATCTGATCAAACAGCAACTACTTCCTAATGAAACACAACATCTGACTTTTTCAAATAAATAATAAGTTGTTTATTTTCTTTAAATTAACTTAGCTTTTTGCTCATTCAGTCATGCATATTACATTTTATAGAGAAATACTTTAGAAATACTAGAGTTTTAGTGATTATTTGTTTTAAAGGCCCCTTCTAAGAAATGCTAAATTACTTCTGCAGCTGAGGGTCCACTATGCATTTTATATCCTCGGTTTTATATTGTCACCGACACTGTAACAGTAATATTTCAACACTAAGATTGTGACTGTCAAACCTTGCAGTGATTCCAAGAACATCCCTAAGAAATACATCCCACTGATGTTTAACTCAGAGACAGTGGTACAGGTTCCCATGTTGTTTATGCAGGCGTAAGTCAAATATCTGACAGCTTTGTTAGATCCTATGATGCAAGGTACTAATACTAAAACGTATTTACAATTCATAGTGTTTTTGGCTGTAGTCTATAAGATGTCAATGTACTAAATTATAAAGCTGCCATTCGAAATGCAACAGGACGGCTACCAATTAAAAATGTTGATAACATATCAAGAAGTGAGTAAAGTATATTTCAAAAGGATTTATGACTTTATCTCTTTCTTTTGGGGTTCACTATTTGCTTTTACATTTTTCAAGCTGCAAGTAGGTACTTTATTTCCGTCATGCATTGCATTATGGGACTAAAAAACAATTACTATTGAATATTCCAATTGGCATTTCTTAATATTCTTGATTTTTCTGAGATCTTGACGTTGACAGAGTAAAATAGTCATAAATACTTATTATGTTTTCTTTTGACTGTTGCACAGTCTATGAGAATACAGCAGTATCCAGATCATCTCTCCCCCGACATGACCATCGACACATCTGGCAACAAGGACAGACAAATGGAGAAAGAGAGCTTTCCAACGCAGCTGTACCGCCACATCAAGGTAGACCACCACCTGTTCTGATTAACAGAGAATTACAAATTCTAGATCATTCCATCCTATATATTTACTATACTGCATACTATACTCTATATCACTATATAACAGTATTTAGGGAATTGGATATCTGCTTGGTAGTTGTGAGAGTTTACTAATTACATTGTCGTAGTTGTAAACAGTGAATTTACAGTAAAGAAGACTTTTTCTCTTTTTACTGATGTAAACACACACCCCCACACACCCCCACGCACACACACACACACACACACACACACGCACACACTCACACACTAACTAATTGCTTTACTCACCTGAAGGCACTTGTCTCAGCCTCTGGCTGTGCTCTCATCACTTGCATGGAGCTGAATTTGCTCGTCCTTGCTTTCTTGTCCTTGTGTGTGAGCGTTCAGTTTATGCAACTTCACGGCAGCATGGCGTAAAATTTCACGCCTCCCTGAAGCTGCCTGAAAGTAGTTTGTGTTTTATATCTCAGTGCATCTGGATCACAGGCAGCAAAGCAAAAAAGGTGACGCTATTTTCTGTGTGTCGTTTTCAACCTGCAGTTTGGGCGGCGGTCACATGTGGAGTGTGCCCGTTTCTCTCCTGATGGCAAATACTTAATCACTGGATCGGTGGACGGGTTCATTGAAGTCTGGAACTTTAACACTGGAAAAATTAGTAAGGTAAGTCATGTTTCATATCATGACACTTAAATATATTGAGACTTTTGTTCATTATATTTCATTTCTTTTAGATATTGGAAACTAATGCCTGTTTATGCATTGTAACTGGATATTGACTATAGTGTTTTGGTAGTGTTTGGTGTTAAGACTTAGTCTGTTTATGTGGAATGTATTTGTTCAATGTTGCTCTCTTGGCCAAACAGATATTAAACTGTTACCTGGTTAAATAACAGAAACAAACAAACAAATACCAGTTTATATGACAAAATATTATATCTTATCCTGCTATTTATTTAGTTTATTTCATTGATTTATTCTGTTCTGTGTGTGTGCGTGTGTGTTTGCATGAATGAATTAGGATGTAAAGTACCAGGCTCAAGACAGCTTCATGATGATGGATGATGCTGTGCTGTGTATGTGCTTCAGTCAGGATACGGACCTACTGGCCACTGGAGCTCAGAATGGCAAAATAAAGGTTTGTATCTCATAATACTGGCAGTTGATATTATTCTGCATATTTGTCATTGTGAGCAACCGATCACTGTGTCCTCATTGATAAAGTTTTATTGTCAACGCAAAAAAAAAGAAGCAAAATGTTGAAAAATTATGTGGTGCTCTCAGCTGAATTAAAAATATTTTATTTAAGTGGTAGTCTCACTTCTTCTCTCCCAAAAATGTGTGTGTGTGTGCGTGTTGTTGGCGTAGGTGTGGAAGATTCAGAGCGGCTTGTGCCTGCGCAGGTTCGAGCATGCCCACAACAAAGGTGTGACCTGTCTGAGCTTCTCCAAGGACAACGACCAGTTCCTCAGTGCCTCCTTTAACCAGACCATCAGGTGGGATGTCTCACAATCCACGTACACTGCAATGACTGATATTCATAGTCGAAACATTACTCATATCAGCTGAACTAGATTTGTAGACTTACACTCGGTGTGGAGGACAGAGAGAGCTTTACAAATGGTAAAAATGACATGACATTGAACTGGACAGTAAACAGTGAGATTAAGGAAAGTCTAATTGATTTGAATAAACAAGTCATTTCAAATATTTAAACAGCTAATTCAATAAATTCAATTTTAGTTAAGAAGGGAAGTGAATATCTGAATTCACAAATGATGGACCAAAAGTTTTAAAAGAGAAACAACTATGTCGGGAGCTTTGTTCAATTTCTGGATCCTTCTTGTGGCAAAACGTTGCTTGTCTACTGCGGGAGGAAGGGAGAGCTTTCACTGACACATGAAAATGAGTTCAGCTGGAGGCCAGGGAGCTCTTTTTACGTCTCACGGAGGATTAGCACAACAAGGCAGAAACAGAAAAGTCTTTCTCAAAACTGAATGTTGCCATGGAACAAAATTCAATACCACCAAGTTATCTAGTTATAAACTGTCCCATTGTAAAAAAGTTCTCAAAGACCCTTTGCATATTGTGGAATAAAATAAAGAAGAAAAAAGCAGTTAACGCTTTAATGACGAATAATAAGAATAGGAATAAAGAAAATATTAGAATTAAGCGGTGTTGAAGGTTTAATGTGTTTTCAGATTCTGCTATGGTATATGCATCTGTTAATATATTTTTCCTATTTCTCTTTTGTCCAGTTAAGTAATTCAACAAGTAATTCATTTGAAGTGAACTGCTTTTCAAACCTTTGTAAAGCTCCATAATTCCAGCAGTTGAGGCCCGATATGACATGTTGCATGAGTACTACACCTGAAACTAAATATGTTCGGGCAAGGACGTCTGTCTTTCACTTCCCTTCTCTCACACACAGACAAACACACACTGAATCCCCTTCATAGTTGAGGAGTTGAATATCTATTTCTGACTGCTGGGGTGTGTGGGCTGAGCCTCTCTGTCTGAAGCGCATGTGCTGTGTGGGTGTAGCTGAGAGAGACCATGTGCTCAGGCACAAAGCTGCAACGTGTTCCTCCCGTCGCAAATTCCAAGAGATAGGAATTGTTTACATACGCAAAACCATCCTCCCAGAGATGTAGTAAACCAGTGAGCATTAGGCTGTTGTCATGGTTTTAGCTAATCTGCACCCAGTCGCTCCACACGGGAGCTAAAAATAACACATCGGCAGCTCAGCAACACGTTTTGTCTGCTCCCAAGAAAACCCAC